GTCCAGGAGGGCAGACTGGGCGAGGTTCTGGCACCCATTCCCCGGGACCTGGGTGGAGGCAGGAAGGGAACTGCAGCTCCTGCTCTTACAAGAGTGCTTCCTCCGGAGAGAAGGGGAAGATTCCACTTGCCCTTCCCAGGCCAGGTGCTGCAAGGTCTGACAGGGCACTGTAGGCCTTAGTTCCTTTGAAATGTGCCTCCCAAGGTGCCAATTGAAACACTGGAACAAACCCCAGTAAAGAGCATGTAAGAAAGAAGAGAGGGAGGCAGGTCAGGGACAAAGGAACCAGAGTATGTCTTGACCTCTGTTTTGCTTAAGAGCTACCATGTGGCTGTGTTAGTTTCCTAGGGCCACCATAACAAAGAGCCACAAACCGAGTAGCTGCAAACAACAGAAATGCATTCTCTCTCAGTTCTAGGGGATAGGAGTTCAAAACCAAGGGGTCAGCAGGGCCATGCTGTCTGGCAAGGTTTTAGGGAAGACTGCTTCCTTGCCCCTCCCTTGTCTCTGGAGGTCACCAGCAATCCTTGGTCCTTACCTCGGAGGTGCCTCACCTCAGTCTCTGCCCCATTTTACACGACAGTCTTCCTTGTGTGTGTCTCTGCTTTCTCACTTTATCAGGACACTAGTCACTGGATTAGGGCCCACCCTAATCCCCATGTGATCTCATCTTAACTAATTAACATCTAATTCAACTAATTTAACATCTGCAAAGACCCTCCTTCCAAATAAGGTCTGAGGTTCTGGATGGACATAATTGGGGAAAACACTACCCTACCTAGTTCAGCAGCTATCCCTCCTTGCAGCTCTGTTTGGTATTTTCCATATTCTAAACCTTAAAAACTACCAATTTAATCTCAAAGAGGACTTTTTGCAGCTTGGATTAGTAAAGAGCAGACAAAACTTTAAAATTTATTTTAAAAATATGCCATTTCACTTGCTGGGGTCCTTTAAGGTCAAAGATTACCTTGCATGAGGGTGGAACCCACTGATGTATCTTGTATGTATAGTGCTGCCAACATTTTTTGCATAGACAAGAAATAGTTAGAAACGGAGTTTCCCCCCAGATCTGCCAGTGGATGTTCCTTTCAGCAAGTTCGCTCTAGAACATCATGACTTGCATCTGTCTTCCCTTCCCAGGTGCAACCTCCTTCTTGCTGGCAATAATTTCTGGGACTGTGGAAATTACAAGAAGCAAATTCATGGAAAAGTGTTGTTGACACCTTTCTGCAGGCTCCTTGAGGAATACCTCTTCTAAATATCTAGACCGGCATGAAAAAATAACCCAGAAGAAATGACAATCACTAGTTAACATGTCGATGGGAAGTATTACTCTGTCAAAACACAGAGCACCATCACACACGCGCTGCCAAAGCACTAGCTGTGCACACTGAAAAGCCACTCAGTAATACGGAGAAAACTGAAGGAGGTGTGCATCCAAAAAGTAGAAAATAGAAGTCAAGTAACAATATATTTTCTAAATAAATATAACATAACATACTCATGGTTGCATGTTACAAGTCTATCCCTGACCTTTGTTTCTTTATCTGAGGTAGCCCGGTGAGGAGAAAACACACTGCCTGGGTTGGTTCAGGAGGAACTTGTAAGTCACCTATGCCCATGAGCATCAGTAATTTTTGGAGTGATACAAATGCCCTATTATCTAAAGAAAAAGAGGAACACAAAAATAATTGCAGGGAAACTTGGAATAAGCAAAAATGGCTGCTGGGTATGTTCAATAGAAAACTGTGCATCATTCCGCGCCGTCTCCCAGGTCCTCTGACTGTGCCCGGACAATTGGAGGCATTTTGTATCTCTTGACACCCGGGAGCTCCAATAGTTATAAAGCACTGCAGCTATTTGGTAACTCTTGTAAGCTGTAGATAACTAATAATAAGGCAAAGTGATGGTCTATTGACAATTCTCCTCTATCAATATGCAATAAATTCTGACTAGTGGAGGCTCTGTTGATTTCCCTTCCCCAGGATGAAAAATCATTTTTGCAATGACTTGCAAAGTCATTTCAATATTCCTGATTTATAAATGTGTTTTGTTCTACGGATTCTCTTCTGAATCAGTTGTAATAGCTTTTCCAGTTTCCTCATTTAATTAATTAATGAACATCTTTGACACATACTCATTTTATATTCATGAGTCATGCTACTTTTTTTGTGTGACGATTATCCTTTAACAGAGTGGTGAAACAAAATACTGCACCATTTCGTATTGAAAAAAAAGCCTTCGATTTTTACTGAAAATTTAATCTAGCCATTAGATTAAATTTAAGTGAATTTTTATATTTCTGGAATAGCATTCTTGTATTAAAGCATTAATCCCTGCATAGACTGATAGTTCAAGGTTATTAAATGCACTGTTTTTCCATAGCGCCCTCATTTCTTATTACTTCTGCCTGGAAAATTTTCAGATAGCTCTGCTCCACGGTTAAGGAAGAATTGGGATATAGCAATATAAAATGTGGATCCATCTGGTTTGCTTTGTGAATTACCACATCAAAGCTGAAAGAGACAGCAAGGTAATTCTAAAAATAATTTATCATTTGATGACAATGCAATAGCTATTACATTTGAATAATAAGTTCACAATATACATGTGACAGCGAAAGAGAAGAAGCAGGAAAGGGAACATACCCTTCAGTACAATCTTTTACATGAGGGGGTGGGTAGGACCCCACCTGGACTAAAATTCTAGCTGCAGGTAACCTCCTCACTCCCACACATGCAGGCCCCAGGCCCAGTTAGGAGTACTTGAGGGGGTATGTCTCTGGTTTGTTAACCACCAACTTACATCAGCCCGTTACGACAACCTCGGCCGCCAGTGTTCTCACAGTCAGCCCCTCCTGCCAATAAACGATTTTGAATAACTCTTTCAAACTCAAATGTTAATAACTTTCAGCATTACCTTTCCCAGAAGGAGTTTTATTTTAAAAGAGGATTTCAACCCACACATATAGACTCAACTGATCTTTGACAAAGAGCAAAGGCAATTTAGTGGAGAAAAGATATTCCTTTCAACAAATGGTGCCTGAACAAAGGAACACCCACATACAAAAAAAAAAAAAAAGAATCTAGATACAGATCCTAAAGCTTTCACACAAATTAACTCAAAATGGATTATAGACCTAAATATAAGATGCAACTGTATAAAACTCCTAGAAGAAAACATAGTAGAAAATCTATGTGCCTTGGATTTGGTGATGACTTTCTAGATACTCCAGCAAAAGCATAATCCACCAAAGACATAACTGAAAAGTTGGACTTCATTATCATTAAAAACTTCTATTTTGTGAAAGACACTATTAAGAGAATGAATAGATAAGCCAGAGGAGAAAATATTTGCAAAACACATATCTGATAAAGAACTTGTATCCAAAATATACAAACAACTCTTAAAACTCAATAATAAGAAACCAAACAGCCCAACTAAAAAACAGGCAAAAGATCTGACCACCTCATGAAAGAAACCCGGAGAACAACTAAGCATATGAAAAGATACTTGACATCCTGTATCATGAGGAAAATGCAAACTAGAATAACGAGATACTGCTCCACACCTATTAACGTGGTTAAGATCCAAAAAAGGACGACACCCAGTGCTGGCGCGGATGTGGGGCAGCAGAGCTCTCATTCGCTGCCGGTGGGAAGGCAGCACGGCACAGCCACCTCGGAAGCCTGTGCGGCAGAGCTGTACAGAACCAGCACGGTTCTATCACATAATCCAGCAATCCGCTCCTATGTATTTACCTAAAGGAGTTGAAAACCTACGTCTGCACAAAACCAGCAGATGAATTTCTGTAGCCGCTTTATTCGTAATTGCCAAAAGCTGAAAGCGACCAAGCGTCCTTCGGTAAGTGCATGGATAAATTGCGCATGGGGCGATACGGAGGAACCTTCCGTGCATATTGACTGCTAAGAGACAGAAGCTAATCTGAAGTGGTGGATACATACTATGTGATTCCAACTATATGACATTTTGGAAAAGCTGATACTATAGAGATGGTAAAAAGGTGGCATTGCCATGGGTTTGGGAGGACAGAGGTATAGGTAGAGCACAGAGAATTTTCCAGGCAAACTGTGTTGTATTCTGTGTAACAATACTGCAAATGTGGGCACATGACAAAAACCCGTAGAACTGTTCAAATAAAGATGAACCCTAACGTAAACTATGTACATTAGTTAATAATAATTTGTCAACATTAGTTTATCAATGATAAGAAATGCACCACACTAAGTAAGGCAAGGTGTTAACAGGGGAAACTGCATGTAGAGGCCAAGGGAGAAGAGTAGGTCTGTTTTCTGTGCCATTTTTCTGTGAACCTGTAAGTGCTCAAAAAAACCCCAAAGTCTATTAAAAAAGAATTTCCAGGTGAGGGAACTGTTTAACAAAATGTGACTCACTAGTTGTGGAATACTGGTAGATGTTTTGGAATAAGCAATTCCCCGATGTTTGCCTTTTCACTCACATCAAAGCGAAGTGAGCATTCCTCCAAGCAGGCCAGTCCAGCAGCCTTCCTCAGGGCTGCGGAGGGGTTTGTTTCCTCTTCCTTCTCCAGACCCACGCTTCCTGCCCACTCCTGCTCCAGACCCGCTGGTGGGTAATTACTAGCCCTGACTCTTACCATCATCGCACATTGCTGCACTCTCTGCTGTTTACACAGAAAAGGTAATCATCTGACCTTAAAGTGGGGAGATTATCTTGGATTATCAGGGCGGGCCCAAAGTCACCACAGGGGACCGTAAAAGAAGAGGTCCCCTTGCCTCGCTGGCTTTGAAGAGAGGAGGAGGGGGTCGGGAGCCAAGGAGTGCGCAACTACCCTCTAGTAGCTGAGAAACATACTCTCCCACGAGCGTCCAGAAGGAAGACAGCTCGGCCAACTCGATTTTAGCCAAGCGAGACCATTTTGAACTTCTGACCTCCAGAATTCTAAGATAATAAATTGTGTTATGTGCTCATAAATTTGTGTTAATTTGTTACAGAGGCAATAGGAAACTAATACGGATGGGGCGATGACAAAGAAATCACCTGCAAAGATTCTCGGGATGAAGGTATAATTTATAGGAAGCCCAACAAAGAAGCAGATTTGGGAAGGAAAAGGAGTTTGATTATAGGCACAAAACATGAGAAAGTCTAGTGCAGCAAATTTCAACCGGTGTGCTGCAAGAATTTAAAACGAGCAACACCTGACTATGCAGTCAGGGGCACTGGCCTCTTTTCCCTTAGATCGACAAATAAAAAAATGACAACAGCCAGCACAACAGCAGCCTGCAGAGTGAACGAATCAAAATTACACCTTTTATTTGTCAGATTGGGAGAAATACATTTTTTGATGTGCCACCAGATTTAGTAATTTGTTTATGTGTGCCATGAGATGGGAAAGGTTGAGAACTGCTGGACTGGTGAGTGGTTCGGAGTCAGGCTTTGGCATCCGAGAGGTCTGGTCCCTATTACAGCCCTGCCTCTGACAAGCTGCTGCAACTTGGTCAAACTCTCTCTCTCTGTGCCACATCTCTGCCAGGACTGGGGATTATATAAAGATAATTTACACAAGGTCCTTGTACTTGGTTGCCATGTGCTCAAATGTAGGATGATGGCGATGCTGATACAGAAGACGCACTTCCTGTGCAGTTTTTTAGTCATCATGGGCCATTACACAACCTTAACCATTGTTTTAGAACTAATCAGTGTAGGAATGAAAAATGTAAATTACTTTGTTCTCTGTTTACAAGGGATGCCAGCTGTACTATTTATGTTTAAATTATTTTCCAAACTTGTACATATATGTGCATTCATTCCTTAACATGATGTTTTATTCCTCTTTTAAGCTTGACCTTGGATTTGCCCTGACAAAACACACACAGCTGTTTTAACATCATCACACATTTCTGCACTCTCTGCTATTTACACAGAAAAGGTAATCAGCTGACCTTAAAGTGGGGAGATTATCCTGGATTATCAAGGTGGGCCCAAAGTCACCACAGGGGACCGTAAAAGAAGAGGGAGGCAAAGAGATGGCTGTGTGAGAGGGCCTGGGCCTGCCTTGTTAGCGAGGCATTGACATTGCTACCTCTTGGAGCTCTGGCGGCGGGAGGTGACTGTGTCCGCTCCTGCAGTCCGGACCCAGAGAAGGGCAGAAAACAGTAGTCACAGGAGAGATTAACAAGAGATCCAACGGATGGAAAAAAATGGAACTTGCCTAAGTTCCCTCTTCCACTAAAAGCTCATACTCTCCTAGGGTGATCTATGGTTTAAAAAGCACATTTCCTCCTTGCTAATCGAGTTCCTCCTTCCCGGATCTAAGGACAGATGTGTGCAGAGCGCTGGAGGAGAGTACATCCTAGCTGACTTCTCTAACAGAGCTCCAAGACTGGTGGGAGACCAGCCCAAGAACAACCAAGAATGACATAAAAAGTGCATTTCTAGAAGAATGAGACCAAGCATTTCACATGAATTGTGGAGACTCACAGAACACAGGTAAGCAGCATGACAATAGTCCAGACAATAGGACAATAGGACAATAGTCCAGAGCGAAGTGTAAACAAAAATGCCTCTAGTTAACAGTTTGTTCTCCAGTCTGACTCTCCACTGCCTTGTTGTGTATGAGACTTTACTCCATTTCCATATATGTGTAAACAATCACTTAAACCCCCAGATTGCAGAAGAAAATAGAAGAATGCCGCTCTGGGTAGAGAACTCTGACACATACTGTCCAGTTTTTGATCATAAACACAACTGCTGTAAACATTCATCTGCAAGTTTCTTTTTGGCATGTTTATATCCATGTCAGATATCCAGTGCAGAATCTCTGGCTTGCAGGGTAGGTGTATGTTCCGTTTAAAACTTCTGTTATAAGAGAGTCAATGGAGATCATGAAGTGAGACTGGTGTTTAAGGAAAAACATGCTGGCTAAATGCAGAGATTGAGTGTGTGAGAATACACAGAATTCTTTCAGGGACAGCAATTTTATTTAAACATTCCAGAAAACTCTTATTATAATTTCAGTTTTCCAAGTGGAGTCTCCCCCAAGTCCAGGAGTGCCTTGACTGACATGGCGTTGGGGTGCCACTGCGAGTGAAGTGTCTGCTCTGCTGCACCCACACTCCACCAGCCTGTCCACTACTAATGACACCTTTCACGCCTGAGTCCGCTGCATTTCTACAACCAATGGTTCTGTTCAGTTGGGAAGTTGGCATAAAAAGAAGCTCAAACTATTGCCAATATCACTGGGATGTACCCTATCAAAAGCTCTCTGCTGACTCCCCCATCAAAACATTTATTTTTTAACCAGATCAGAAATAGCATCTTTCTTTCTGAAGGAGAAACTTCTTCACTAATCACCATAGAAATAATCAAGAAGTTTTTCCACTTGGTTTTTATTTGTAAGACATTTCTTTGCAACCTGGAATCTGTGATGCATGGTTTTTCAAGTGCTCTTTCTGTTAACAAAATTAGATGCCTCATTAAAGACTCCGAAAGAGTCAGGCCAAGTTAGCTGGGCTGGAAACAAATACTGCTAATCCAAATATTAACCAGCTTGCTAGAGACACTGAGGATATAGACCATATGTGTTAGAACAAGGAGCCAGGGTGCTACCCACAGGGCATCTCTGGATCTAGGCTGGTAATCCATTAAAGCTGAGAGGTCAGTGTCCCTGCATAGTACCAGGGGGGACCCTCCCCCAAAAGCCCAGAGCTTATTTATAAAAACTGGTGTTTTCTTACATGTTTAAATTTCAGTCACCTTTAAAGTACTCTCCATTTGATGTAATAAACCTATCGAGATGTTTTTTCCACTGCTCAAACCAGTTTTTGAACTCATCAATTTTGATGCCTTTAGTGTTTCTGCTGGTTTTTGTTTCACCTCCTCCACAGGGGCAAAAGGTTTCCATTTGATGACTTTTTTCATCCAGGGAAACAAAAAAAGTGGCTTGGGGCAACATCAGGTGATAGGGAGGGTGGAGCACTGGGGTCATGCTGTTTTTGTCAAAAACTGCTGAACACTCAGCACAGTGTGGGCCAAGGCACTCATAAATTACTTGTCAAGAGATGGGCAAACACATTGTCTTCAAAAAGTATTCACTGAAGCCAAATGCAGCCTCTCACAACAACGCCAGCTAGTATGCCGACACAGATGGGTTCCTAGAATGCTCACCTATCGGGGAAAGCCTGTACTACAAAGGATCCACCACCTAAAAGATAATTCTGTTTTCTTTGAGGGAGGGATCCCCCCTCGTTTAACCTTTTAACAAGGTCACATTTGGATTAAAAATTTTCCATAAGGTATCCAGCCATGTAATATGAAAAACAGAGGCATTTATTGTAGAAGATACATGATATGAAAAACATTGTACACAGGACAATGACACCTCAGTCCCCTTCAAAGTAGGCACCTTGGGACCTCACACAGTTCTCCTAATGGCTATCAGCTGCCCCATCATGATTCCCTGAATCTCATCAATATTCTCAAATCTTTTCCCTTTCTAAAGTGATTTTAGTTTTGGGAAAAGCCAGAAGTCACAGGGCACCACATCTGGGCTTTAGCGGGGGTGAGTCACCTGGGTGATTTGATGTTTCACCAAAAAACTCTTCATACGATGTGATGTGTACGTGGGCACATTGTCATGATGAAGCTGCCAATCACCAGCTGCCCATAGCTACGGCCTTCCAAATCATCCCAACAGTTTCCGAGGAGGAGTGTTGAAGCTTAATGCAAAATCTGATGTGGATTTGTTGATGTACTCGCTTAGCCATTTTAAATGCTATGACCACACAGTACACATGCTCACTCAAGGTATCTACTGCCCCCATTGACTACAATGAAGTTGTCATTATTCACGTATGTGCATTCCAGTCTTCTCTCCTTGGCTGCCAGGTTATATCGTTAATGGCTGAACTTTTTCTGGACAGACCTCATGTTTCAGTAAGGTCTCAACCTTCAATTAAAAACAGGAATATATATATATATTTCTGGCCAAGATGGAGGCGTGGGTAGATATGCTTTGCCTCCTCGTACAACCAGGACAACCACCAATTTAAAAACAAAAAATAACCGGAACTGCCAGAAAATCAAACTGTATGAAGTCCGACAACCAAGGAGTTAAAGAAGAAACATTCTTCCAGATCAGTAGGAGGGAAGAGACAGGCAGCTGGGGTGGAGAGGACTCACAGCAAGGTGGCAGCTGGTGGAGTGGGTGAGGCAGTGGCTGGAGGACTGGGCGGTCCCACATTTGCATGTGGATAAACCAGGAGGAACAACTGGGGAGTGAGACAGCCTATGCAACCCAGGGTCCCAGCATGGGGAAATAAAGCCTGAAAACCTCTGGCTGTAAAAATCTGTGGGGGTTGTGGCAGCAGGAGAAACTCCCAGCCTCACAGGAGAGTTTGTTGGAGAGACTCACAGGGTCCTGGAATGTACACAAACCATCTGGTAATCAGCACCAGAAGGGCCCAATTTGCTTGTGGACAGCAGAGGAAGTGACTGAAAGCCAGCTGAGAGCCGAGCAAGTGACATTGTTCTCTCTTGGACCCCTTCCCCACATACAGTGCCAGAAAAAAGTGTTGTGGATTGCCCTACCCTAACAAATACCTAAGGCTCTGCCCCTTACTATGTAACAGGCAGGGGGACAAAAAAATGGCCAAAATGAAAGAACAGACCAAAGCTTCAGAAAAACACAACTAGGCGATGAAGAGATAGCCAACCTATCAGATGCACAGTTCAAAACACTGGTGATCAGGATGCTCACAGAATTGGTTGAGTATGGTCAAAAACCAGGAAAAAGTGAAAGCTATGCAAAATGAAATAAAGGAAAATGTACAGGGAACCAAGAGTGATGGGAAGGAAACCAAAACTCAGATCAATAGTTTGGACAGAAGGGAGAAATAAACATTCAACCACAACAGAATGATGAAACGAAAATTCAAAAAATGAGAAAAGGCTTAGGAACCTCTGGGACAACTTTAAACATTCCAACATCTGAATCATAGGGGTGCCAGAAAAAGAAGACCAAGAAACTGAAATGTTATTTGAAAAATTAATGAAGGCGAACTTCCCCAATCTGGCAAACAAAACAGACTTCCAGGAAGTCCAAGAAGCTCAGAAAGTCCCAAGGAAGTTGGTCCCAAGGAGGAACACTCCAAGGCACATCATAATTACATTACCCAAGATTAAAGAGAAGGATAGAATCTTAAAAGGGGCAAGAGAAAAGAAGACAGTTACCTACAAAGGAGTTCCCCTAAGACTCTCAGCTGACTTCTCAAAAGAAACCTTATAGGCAAGAAGGGGCTGGAAAGAAGTATTCCAAGTCATGAAAGGCAAGGACCTACATCCAAGATGACTCTATCCAGCAAAGCTATTATTTAGAATGGAAGGGCAGATAAAGTGCCTCCCAGATAAGGTCAAGTTAAAGGAGTTCACCATCACCAAGTCCTTATTGTATGAAATATTAAAGGGACTTATGATCAAAAATATACACAGTAAAATGACAACAGACTCACAACAATCAACAACCAAAGCTAAAAATCAAAACCAAAAAGAAACTGAGCAAACAAGCAGAACAGGAACAGAATCACAGAAATGGAGAACACATGGAGGGTTATCAGCGGGGAGGGGGAAGCAGAGAATGGGGAAAAAGGTACTGAGAACAAGAGGCATACACGGTAGATACAAAATAGACAGGGGGAGGTTAAGAATAGTATGGGAAATGGAGAAGCCAAAGAACTTCTTAATATAATATGTACGACCCATGGACATGAACTAAGGCGGGGGGGGGAGGCTGGCAGAGGGGAGTGCAGGGTGAAGGGGAATAAAGGGGAGAAAGAAAATGGGACAACTGTAATAGCATAATCAATAAAGTATATTTGTAAAAAAAAGAAGGAATATAAAGATTTGACTTGCCAGCCCAACCTTTCAGCAATATGGAAAACTAAAACCAGTTTTTGTCTGTTGGAAAGGTAGAGAAATATTCCTGATATAAATTAGGGATTTTAGAAATTCAAAAGGGGGACCCAACACTATTAGCTAAATGGATCGAGGCATGCATTTGTACTCACAGCACCTATCACCGGAAAATCTCCGTGCCCTTCGTGGGAAGACCATGAGAGAAAGCTTTTCAGCAACTGAAAAGAAACTGTAAGACAGACTTAAAGCAGAAGTCTCCACTTTCTAGTCACAGATTCGCTCATGCATTTATAGAAAGCTTTCACCTAAAGGGCAAGTCAGCAGCATATCCTTATCAGTGAAAATTCAGGAGAATCTGAAATTCCAAATACATTGTTATATTAAAATGAGACCCTTGCAAGACATAAATCTTTTTATTAAAAAATTTATTTCTCTGTAAATACAAATTCCAACATCAACAAACGATAGTCCAGTGGAAAAATACTTAGCCATTAACATTGAAAACTTTTTTTAAAATTTAATAAATATAACTTTGGCATTCAAAATTCTAGCTGTAAACCCTATTAAAAAACAAAAACAGAAAAACCAACCCCTTTACAAAAAAAGAGGCAAGAATGACAGATCAAAAGGCATAAGCCAACCTGTGGCTTCACATTCTTTTTACAAGGACTGTATTTCAGTTAAGTCGAGACCACTGTATTTACACATGAGGTATTCTGGGTGGTTCAAAAACTGAACCTAGTTTACGAAGTCCACCAGCCACAATGACTGATTACGCACTCTGCTGTGCTTTTCAGGTAACCACCAAGCACCTTACCACGTCTTGCCATCACACTGATGTGATGCTAAATTTTATGTTTATGTATTTAAATAACTATTTATACATATATACACACACAAACACACAAAATGACATTCCAAAGGAGTGTCCTGCTTAACATATGGGGAAAAGGCTAAGCTTCAAACACATATATCTGATAAGTCCTCTCATGTTTACTAAATTATCTACCTAGTAATGAAAACCTGCTCCTTGCTTTAAAAAAACAATCCTTAATCAGTCTACTGACGGAAGAAGAAGGTGCGATAATCTTCGACATTCTTACAGCTCATGTAAAATAGAAACGAATGCTTACTGCAGGCAAAGGCACGGAAGGTTCTCTCTGTGCAGCTGCAAGAGTGTTGTTAATGACTTATTGATGTGAGACTACATCCTTAGCATACTCAAATCTTCTTTTAAGTAAGAAAAAAAATCCCATATCTTTCCCCTTTCATGATTAAATATTATTGAATGTATAATATGACCACACAGCAATATCCCACCATGGCATTTAGGGTGAAGTTGGAAATTATACTCTATATACCAAATAAGAAATAGATTTTTGTAAACAGTGAAAAGAACTGTTAAAAATGGAAATGAAATAAATTAACTTTGGCTCTGAGAGCTATAGCTACTGGCAATTTCAAATGACATGGTCTAAGTGAGCATGGTTATGAGAATTGCTTATTACTGTAATTACATATCTACAATGATAGAAATCTATGTAAAAGAATGCAAACAATCCAAACTAAAGGTATGGCTGAGCTGAACGATGCTACGTAAAAACAGTCCACGTTCTCAGCTGCTATGCTGCTAATCGATGAACTACTACCGATATGAAAACATGTCTTCCCGATAAAATAGTTCCTTTAAAAATATCCTTTAAGAGATTCCTATTAATAAGTCTTGAACTATGACATTAATTTCTAAATTCATTAATAAGTCACAAATGTAAAATATCCATTTTAGCAACACTTCCAGCCCTTGAGATTGTCTCTAACAAACTACTAAAAGAAATCTAATTCAGTTTCATAAACTGTTATAACCAAAACAAATTTCACCAAAATATAATATTGTTAACATTAAATATTGAATCCTATTTCAAATATAATACAGGGCCACACTTATTAAAAGAAAAATTCAGGCATGAATTCCTAGTCAATACACTTAGGCTTTTTAACATGAGAGACCACTGAAAATTTACTAACAATGAACTAAAGTCATCCTTTTTTTCTGACGTCAAGTGAAAAGACAACCATTGTGCCTTTGATCTGCACAGGCAAAGCGGGTCTTTTCCTGAGCCAACTGTTACTTTACCCCTGCTATTTAATGGGACTGAGGCAGAATAAGCTCAACTTGAAAACCCAGAAGACAAATAATAAATGTTGATGTATGAGCCACTTCCCTAGAAGACAAGCATTTAAATTCACAAAAGTATAACTTAAAAGTTGTCATTTCTAAGGAAATTTTCCAATACATTTACTTTACAATTAGGTTATTTTTGTATCCAGACCAATGTCACTGCAATAGCTTCCAAGAACATAGCTCCAACCAACACAACAGGTTGTCTTGGAAGGAGAAATTTTACAAAAAATGAAAATCAAAATTAAATATTGATGAATCAGAAAACTACTAGTTTGACTTCCCTTGCAAATACTCTCTAAGATCTATTATCCATGACTTTTCATAAACTCCAGAATCCAAGAGATTACATGTTGTAATTCAAAGTCATACTTAAACTATCACATCTTAATTTCCTTTTTTGGGGTGTGTATACATTTTGGAAAATGAAATACATCAGCAGTAGCTTGTTAATTTTCCGCTAAGCTAATTTTTTTTTACCTTAAGATATATGAATTAAGTCAAATTCTGTAGAAGTTATAGAAAACTTATTTTTAAAAATAAAATACTTTATCCCAACTAATATACCTATAATAGATTAAATCATATGACCAAAAGTTTGTTTAAAACAATAGTAATAAGCATAAAATCCTCAAACATATAAAACCTAAGAGATATTTAAGTAAAAATCTAATGATCCAAATAAATCAGTGATTATTTGTCCATTAGTACTATATTTTAGGGTGCCTATATTTCCAAAATTATGGAGATTGGGGGCAGGGGGAGGAAATTCTATGCAAAGAGAATATAAAATGCATGCTGCATTTGTAACTTACCTCTTTTAGATGGTACTATCTATTTTACTGTAATGGGTCATTTTTATAGATATTAATTTTTAAAAGGCAAAATTCTTTGCATCAGATTTTGGGTATAAATTTACTGCTCCCTGAATGTCTTCAACTCATCAATATTAAAAAGCAAATGAACACAATAGAAAGCCAAGTTCTTACCAGTGACTAAGTGTCAGGGGCCTTGGGCTGCAGAATCGCTACAGTGCACAGAGTTCTTAGTGCCCAGACCCTAAGAAATTAAAAAGAGCAGGGAGGACTTGGGCACTGGACAGAAGGCAAGCTTGATGTCCTCACAACGTACTGTAACTTATTGCTGCAATACAACTATAATGTGACTCAGAAAGAGCTGTATGTGAGCCAAATTAACAACTGAATATCTTCCTGGCCTTATACTATGTTTTCACTGCTGAAAATATCTAAGAAGAATCTTTTCTAGGAGCAGCCTTTATACCCGTACATAAGCCTGGCCAGAAAACAGACATGTGATCTGCTCATACCCAAGACAATATTATCCTGCTTGATTCACACCCCTTATTCCTTCTACCTCTTACTTAATCTTAACTTAAATGAGAGTTGGCTGCATTGAGAATACAAACCAACTTGTGAGGGACAATGATTGCCATAGCAAAATAAATTCAAAAGAATGTAACGAATGCTCTGAAGGCAATAGAATATATAGTCCTTCCACAACACCAACTAAAACAGAGAGATACTCATTCAGAAGTTTAAATGATTGCACGTCTACTTAAGTAGCAGCTGCATTTCATAGTAATACCATGCACTCCAGCAGAACCTGACCAAGTTTGCATTCTATGAAAAAACCTGTCTGTAATGTAATTCATGCAATAAAAGGAATTGAAATATCACCTGATTTAGATTTTGCTTTATGCTATTGATAATTCTAATATAAAGAAGACAGGTTGGCTTTTTCTTAATTTCAACTTTAAAACAGATACATAAACTGCTAAAATGTAAACAATTGAGATTTGGATAAATAAGCCATTGTTCTAGAGTCATTTGTTAATCTTTCTTTTACAATAATGAAAAGGGCCCTTTAAAGGTTTGCATTAATTATATATGGCTTTGCTCATATTAGTATAAAACATATAAGTAAAAAACTGTAAATAGTAAGGGACATGTTAAAATTAAGTTCAAATTATGTTAAATTGCCTTGTGATAAATTACTGTTAGGGAAACAGATCATCACATCAAAATGTCACACTTCTAAGGCAATCCACAGTCGAGCACTGAAGAATGGCCGACCTACCTACAGTACGAAAATCAGCCCAGCCCCACCCTCATCATCTCAGCACACTGTGTGTTCAGAACACATGGTTTTGCCTCCTGTGCTATTAGAACGCTTGCCTGCTGTTGGAACTCTTGTTCAGCCCACTTTGGAAAACCCTAAAATATAACACAGGCTTCTACATGAAAAAAAAGAAATACAAGAATAAATAGTGTGTGCCTTTCTCAGAAGCTTTGCTTTGACCCTACAAATCATTATACTTTTGTGAATAAACACACACGCACACACACACACAAAAACAAAAGATAAAAAGAAATCCTACCCCTTTTATCTGAAGGGCACTCTTCACAGCTTGGTCCTACAATCAGTAGTTTGAGAATACAGAATTTTTTTCTTACATACTTTATCACATTTTCAAATGGAAATCTGATTTTTGTCCTGATTAGATAAGCCCCTTTCAGACCGCCTTACATCCCCATTCCACTCCACCCCCCCAACAAAACAAATACACACACACACACACACACACACACGAATCCTATGTGCAAGGCATGTGTCACTTGCAACATTCCGACATGGCTCCTGCAGAGATCAGACGAGACCGGGTGCATTCAGGGGCCGTAGACCGACATGGCTCCTGAAAAGGAACACGAAGACTGTAACACAGCAGCATTCAACAACGGGTCATTATTGCCGTCGGACCAACACTCGATCACTGGGTGATGCAGTTGTCTCCCATGTCCTGAGCGTAGCGATCTGAGATTGTAGTCCTTAACTCATCGATGTCCCTCCGTAGCTGGCACACATCTGACAGCTTTTTAGTGAGCGTATCTGGGCCTTGGTCGTTCTCAGCCTCTTCAGCTGAACAGTTCAGTGCTGCAGAGATAAAATATGGAGAGACTGTCTCCTATTTTTTTAAACAATGGCATTTTAAGGTTTTCAACTTAATTATCACTGGCAATATGATGTTGTACACTGAATACCACTCAGGGTCAGATTTAAATTATGCATCATTAAATATTAAATAGATCTTATTTACTTGGTCCTTTTAAAATTTTCTTAAAATGCATTAAATTCCTACAGTAATGCATACAAATTCAACATATTTAATAGACAACAGTATTCCAAAAGTAGAAAAGAGCATGCTCTAACAACTTTATTTGGGCTTAACTAGAACACTCTGTTCTTCCCATTTGACAAAATCTGAAAATCATTAGTGTAGTGAAGGGCAATACCTTAAATTTTTATAGATTGCAAAATGGGCTTTTTGTCATGAAAACAAATTTTCAAAATATATGGTAAGTGTGTATGTGCATATATATACAGTGTATGTATATGTGTATATATAGTGTGTGTTATATAATGTGTGTGTGTGTGTGTGTGTACATACGACCCAATAATCACGCACAATTGAATCAGACTGATAATTAGGAGCCCAATGGCTGAACAACTGCGGGTGAGGTCCTGAGTCAGGTAGCTTCTAATTATGCACGCCAGTTCCTCTCTTTGTCAACATATCTCATCATAAAAGCAGGTGGAGTTAGTGATTGTAAAATAAACCTTTCCTTATATTTTCTTTGACCTTGGTAGCTTATTAGAGCAGTAACTTACTTTAATAAATATGTCTGAACACCTGCCATGATCCAAGCACTATGTTGGTTACTGAGGTCAGCAAAGAGAAGGGAGAGAGTGGCTTATTCTTAATAATTCACATATGCTTTCATAAACAAGTCAGCCCAGTCAGCTACTGTTGACAACCTACTACTACACATGGGCCCTGGAGGCACAAGGAAGGGAACAACCCAGGCCTCACTGGAGAGGGGAACAGGTTCACTGGGTGGGCCGAGGAAGCAGTCTAAGCAAAGGTATAGAAGTGGAAAACCACACAGTCTGATAGAACTTAAGAAACTTCAAGAAAATCAGTAACCAGCTCTAAAATGGTAAAGCACAAATTATAAGAGAGGAGAGTGCCAAGAAATAAGGCTGAAGGGACAGGTGTGAGCTGGTTACCAATCTCTACTTTAGGGGAGTGTAAGGATTAAGAAACAGGAATCACAGTTGCAGCAGATCACTCTGGCAGCAATGTGAAAATGGACTGGGGTCGGGGGAGTCGGCTGACTGACAGACCAGTCCAGAGGAAAGCATGAATCAGAGCAACAGTGCAAAGAGGAGGCAATGGTAGGAACAAATGCTAGAAGCGGAAGAAACCGACAGAAATGATAGAGCCCAATCACCCTCACCTTGCATCGGGGCCAGGGGCTGGGTATGGGACACACAATGGAGGAAAGAGGATAAAATCTGGGTTAGGGTGATAGGTGGAAGGTGCTACTATTCCCTAAGAGGAAGAGCAGGTTTACAGAGGGAAGAAAAGTAATCTCTGTTTTGGACATACTGAGTCTGTGATGCTTATGAAGCAGCTGGGGCTAATGTACAGATCAATATCATCAGGAGCCCAGAAGGGACATGCTAGGCAGAGTAAGAGATAAACGCCTGTATGGGCCACAGGTACAGTGATGGCAGTGCACAACAACAGGACATGGGTAGGATTCCTCAGAGAAAATACATACAAAGAGAAGCAAAAAACTGACAATAAAAGGTTCCTGGGGATGCCAGTACTGAAGTGGCAGAGCATTCCACAGGAGACTGAGGCTGAGCAGTCAGCACAGCTGCAGTGGAACTTAGAGAATGACATCACAAAAACCATGGCAGCAGAGAGTTTGAGAAGGAGTGTGAGCAGTGTCAACAAATGAATAATCCATGAAGTGACGAGATGAGAACTCAAAAGAATTCTCGGGTTCAGTTTTAAAGACTGGAAGGAGTATTCATTGGTAGGTGAATGTGACAAGGTTCTTAAATCTCCCTTTTATTCTTACCAGGTAAGAAATCTCTTTTATCCTATTACTGAAAAAGTTAATAAATACCATATAGGAGTGTGCAAATATAGATTGCAGAAACTGACCATCTCTGAAATGATGGAAAAATGTGTTTTTTGAGAGTGAATTCTTACTTTTTGTTTCAAGAGGTTGTTGCTAACTAAACCACCCCATATGCACCTACAAACTTCTCCTTTAAGATTCAAGCCAATACCAGCTGCTCCATGGAGCCTTCCTAGCCCTTACCAGGTAGATTGAACAGTTCTCCCTTGAGTTCCCACTGTGTCTGTCTACATCTCAGATATATTTATCACAAGGCCCGAAGAATTTGGTTTATGAGTGAGCAAGGGCTGTGTTCAGATTCTCTGCATGGTCAGTGCCTTAGTGCTCAAGGAGGCATTACTGGATACATACTACATGAATATACTTAGTGTTTCTTACATACCCACGCTCATGTATGTGAATGCACATCTATGAAGTAAAGGGGAAAATTCTGCTGATATCTCTGAACAGAGTTACAGGTTTCATTTAACAAGTGATGCACTTTAATTAAGAGTATTACATATTTGGTTTGACAAACTTATTATGAGGCAAGATGGTGGAATCTTTTTGATAAGACTGAAAAAAAAAACCAGTCCCTGCTCTAGGTACATATTCACAACGTTTTATGGTAATTACTCAATAAATGTTGGTGTATAAATCTTATGATATTACTCCTTTCACATCTCCTAACTGAAGTCCATTTCTTCTGTCCTGAGGAGCCCCACAAGTCACTACTGTAATTTAGAACCACGGGCAGAGGTGAGTGTTCCTGTGACGGTGGCACAGAAGGGAAGTGGCACAAGGCTCTTCCTGTGTCTGCTCTCAGAGCTTTGTGTGCAGGCAGGCAGAACGGAGGCACCACAGGTGGGCGTCACACTGACAGGGATGAAGCAAGCAGGTGTGTGTGACAGGAACAACAGATCTGTAGGCCACGAAACTGTCACAGAACATACACTATACAGGAAAGCAGGTGAGTATTTTTTCTTCAATATTTTACCCCCTGAAAGCAAACTGAATGATTCTTTAGAAAAGTGATCAGGAAATCACACCTATTATCACTCCAATCACACATTAACCTATCCAGCACAGCCCCTCCACACTGGCAGATTACAGGCACCCTGGGAAGTGCCATTCCGTATCAGCTATGCCCCTGCTTACTTCTGTAAGTGTAATGAGGTAAGTTCTAGCAATGAAGTAATAACAAGTATTCACAGACCCACAGACTAATTCAGAGATTTATAAATCTATGTAGGAATGGAGATTAAAAACAAATAGGGAAAATGCAGTCAGAAGTTCCCAACTCATGAAAGCAGTTTCTAAGTGTTAAGCAATACCATAAGGACAAGTCATTAGCCACTTACATCTGATTCCCAGTAATAATGAAAGATTAGGCTCCTTGCCCTGAGCACGCTGATTAAGAATACTACACAATGCCTTCAAGTCAAGCAAACAATAGGACATTTCCTTGAACAGCTGATCAATCACATTCAAATCAAATAGTGGTCGTTTGGAAAGAACCGCCTGCTGCCTGGATTGGTCTGCTTCCTGGCCCTGATCCAAGAGACAGCACGTCTCTTCCGTCTGTCTTTGGTTCTGCAATGAATAAAGATAACAAAAATCTGGTGGTTAGAACAGAGGGAAAGCACTCAAATGTGACACAGGTTAACATTTTCTCCCAAGTCTAGAAACAAAACAGTGGAATATTATATGCACATTAACCAACTGTATGTATACAGAGTAGTGAAAAAAAAAAAAAAGAGAAATAATTAAACTGTGGAAATGGTACCTCTGTGCCAGCTAATCCTATGGAGGAAACAGAAATCCAGAGTCTTCGTTTCTAGGAGTCTCCCATGCTCTCACATAATGAGCATCTCGGATGTGTATGTGTTTTTCTATAATACGATTATTCTCAGAACAAAGGAAACTCTACACTTCATCCTGTAGTTTTATTATTATTAGCACAGTAATTTACTTACTTTGCAACTTTTTTTGTATATTGAGAAAAAAGTACATATGTTATTATATTAACAGCAGTCAAAATTTTCAGTGTAAGAGAAAAATACAACCACAAAATAAAAGAAGAAAAAAATTACCCTAAACAAGTGTAAAGTGTTAAATTGACTTGGAAGACTCAATACGAAGTCACGGTCTCCCACACTCTGAGAAAGCAAAGCCACCCTCACCTCATCCCCAAACCACCCTCATCTACTCCTCGTCCCGAAAACTGCTAATGAAAGGGGAGCTTAATTAGCTTTCCAACTGGGACTGCATTTCAGAATAACCAAATAGCCTGTGTTGATGAGAAAAAGATACATATTTTTTAAAATAGATGAGTGCGAGCTAGTAAGCATAAAAGGAATGATGTACTTAGAAAAAATACCGTTCTTTTAATTATCCAGTAATTCAAACAATAATCACTGGTGGACACTAGAACCATCAAGGCAAAAAGTGCTGGCAAACTACATACTCACACAGTTGCCTAAGCATCGCCCCGCAGACAAGCTGCTTTTGCAGAATAGCCTTGTCCCTTATAGTAGAATAACCAACCATACATAATTTGATGATGTGAACTACACCTGCAAAGTATTCAGGCCAAAATATGTTTGACCTGAAACTAATGACACCTTTAGCTCTAACTTCTAGCTGATAAGAAAACAGAGGGAGCGGAGAACAAGGCCAGTGACACCAGGAGGAAGCAAACAGACAAATCTAGAAGTCTGATAATCTGCAGGTCTTCGAGACACCAGGCCCGGTTTGGTCAACAGTCACTAATACAAGAGAAGAAAGAGACCTTAGGTTCCTAAGACAAAATAAAATGCAACTCATGGTCTCTACTGAAGGCTGGTTTAGAGTCACTATAAAAAACACTTATAAAGGAGTGGGACAATTTTAATGAAGACTGGGTATATTATTGAGTATCAAGAAATATTATTCTTATTGGGTGTGATGATGGTGGCATGGTTACACAGGAAATGTCCTAATTTTTGAAGAGGCATTCTGAAACATTTAAGTGGCAAATATCATGATGCTAGTTAAAAAAATTAAAATAAGTAGTATTTGTATGTATAACATGTCCTTAAATGCAAGCCAAGTGTTTCATCTCATAATTAAGTGAAGAAAGTGTAATCTGTTCCAATGACAGCACCAACGCTGCACCTTCCTTAACGATTTTCTGGGGTAATTTCATTTCTATTCCATTTACGCCTTAGTCCATGGTGCTGGGGCCTAATCTCTATCAAACATGTGACTCTGCTAGAGTAAAGTCTGTGGAGTTGTATTCTAAGACAAAATAAATAAATAAATGTCTTTTTATTATGATTTTAGTAAGAAACCTAATGGATATAATTAACTGGCACATCAAAATCAAGTCCCCAAGTAAAAAAAAAATTGAATATGTACAAGATAAGCATTTATTCTAACTTAAATAGGGACTGGATCACGCTTTGAAAGTAATTTGAATTTCTTCTACTTACATCAAGCAATGTTTTTGTTAACCTGTGTAGGTTTCTTTCTTTCTTCTCCAACTCTTCCATCATCTTTTGTGTGGTTAGTTTTTCTTCAGAAAGTTTCCCTTGCAGAGACTAGAATGAAGAGAATTGGAGAGCAAAGCATATTAACACTGAGAGCAAAATGCAATCCGCTAGTGACAAGTACACTGGCTCTGAATACTTCAGACATACTATCCTCCCCAGCCCCTTGGATGAAGGGATCAAGTTTAAATCAACCCATATTTACCTCTAGAGCAAGTGACTACAACAGGGAAAAAAATACCATCTTTTCTACAAAAGTTTTTAATTTGGGTAAAACATGTTAAATCTAAAGCTGTGGTTTAATGCTATATTGTAAAGAGTTCTCATTTTATTATGTATTGGGAGCATATCAGCAAACCTGTACCTTTTAAAATATTTTTCTTATAATTAATAAGATACAAAGTAGTAAGATCATAAGCCTGTCCCTATTTTCTATCATTTGAAACACAGTTAAACACCTGCCTCAGTATACAGTATTCCAAACAAATGTAATGTTGAATTCAGGGCAAAGGCCTATTATGGGGCTTTGGTAAACTAATCTCTTTCTTAACTCCATTACAAAGTTACAAATCATCCAGACACAATACTATTGTAAGAAAATCATGAGTATACCAAAGCAGCATATAGGATATTTTAGAAGTGCTTGGGTCATTTCACTTAATAAGTCTAGTTTTCAGCTACACACTAAAGAAGAACTTGCCATAATCCCTGTAGTTACCAGTGATGTCTAGATGTTTCTACCAACATTTTATTTTTGTTAAACAAGATCAATAAACTTATGACCAGAGGAGAGATTTCGTTTTTTTCTTCAGGACCATATTTCTGAAAAGACTGACCACCTAAACAGCCCCCAACCCCCTATGAAGGCTATGTCCCTCCCGCTGTCTCTGGATGGAACGAGAGAAGCAGTTGCCACCTTAGGCTGAGGTAAGACTGTAAATGTGACACGTTTTCTCAACAGCAGATATTCAACCCTGTAGCTTTGTATTTTCATTTGCTTGCTAAACTCGGAAAATAATATTACATTTAATAAGTCAGAAGTTGGATACAAATGAAGTAAGCTCTATAACAAGTTCATTTCCTTCTAGGGAAAACTTGTTTTATATTCTACAAAAATGAATCTCCCAGCACAAAGTCACATGGGTTCTCTGAGTATGTACATTTTTGGAAAACTAAAACTCCTTTGTAACTGCATTTGAATGAATGAAAACCTATCTGACTGAACGGTACATGGGAATTTATGTACCTAGCTAAAGATCAATGCTTACTGGCATGACAAGATTATCTGGCTGGAATTCAGAATTCATCCTAAATTTGCTTAAGATTTGTGACTATGTATTTCTTAGAATCATAGAAAAAAGGCACCACGGGTAAACTACTCTAAATATATTTTAACACTGAACCCAAGCTGCCTATAATTCTTTAGAAGATTATATAGCATTTTATATTAATATATTTTATATTTACATTTTTCAAAGTGATGTTGAATGTGACTAGTAATTAGCTAGTAAATCTTACTGGTACAGGGTGGGGCAAAAGTAGTCTTACAGTTGTGAGTATGCAAAACACAGGGTTTTCTCTTGTATTATTATTTATTAATTATTGTGTTATTTTCCATATGAACAACTGCAAACCTACTTCTGCCCCACCCTGTATGTTCCCATGTTAGACTAAATTTAAATCAGTGAAGAAATAGACAATCTTCTCTGTTAAAATAAATAAAAAATGTTTGGAAATAGTGCTGTTTGTAATAAGAAGGAAAATTGGATTTGGGAACTACATCAAGCTTAGTATGTTATGTTGGTTGGGTTCAAGGGCACTTATCAGGCAGCTCTTTTCACAGATATGATTACCCTCAAAGGACCAAGTGCTATATAATTTCCAAGATAATTCTAGGTATGAGTGCTAAAGCTGTCTGACAATAACATTCCACCTAAAAGATTATTTCTCTATCCTAAATTGTATGATAAAGCATACGGTTAAAGCTTAAGAAAAAGGGGGAAAAGAAAAATTCCTATTAAGCTTAGAATGGATTACTAAAATTAAAAACACATTTACAAATGTCTACAGTTTCTCTTTAAATTTCCAGTTTAATAAAAATGTTTTTCAAAATTCTAAGTTACTAACCTACTGATCGTTTATCACAATAATTCCTGAAGTTTAAAATGGTTTTAAGCATATTTGTTGTTTTGATGTAAATATCCAGAAATGCTAACCCTCTTTTGCACCAAACACAAATAGCCCAATAAAAGAAAGTCAGATGTGTCTTAGCCAAAAGATTCTACCTACTCCACAAACACAATTTAGAAGAAAATATTCTGGAAAAAAAAACCTCGTTAGCAGTTTTACCACACACACACAAGGCCATGCAAGAGTTTCACACATATTCTCCTTCACGCGATGGTTCATTCAGCAAAAACTACAGCCGAGCACTATCTGTGCCCTGGATGATACACCAGTGAACAAAACAATCACAACTTTTGGCCCCTGTGGAACTTGCCTAGGAAGAAAAAGACCAAAGAAAATAACGATAGTAAATGTGTAAGTTACAAAGAATTATACATTAGAATTTGACTAGTGCTTTGGAGAACAAATAGAGGGGGCTGAAATCTCAGGTGGTAGAGTAAGGATCATGGAAAAAGTGACATTTAAGCAAAAGCCTGGAAGAGGGAAAGACTGTGTCCAATAGATAACCAGAGAGTGTGTCAGTCCATGCAGAGGTTCTGAGGTAGGTAGTGCCTTCTTTGAGAAAAAGTAAGAGAGTTAGTGTAGCAGAAAATAAAAAATGATAAAGTCAGAGAAGGAAGGTGGTGTGGGGAACATTATGTAAGGCCTTGTAGTAACTTTGATTTTCACTCTGGAAAATGAGAAACCAGTGAAGATATATAATGTGATCTGATTTTTGTTTGCAGGTCACTCAAGTTGATGAGAACAGACTTGCAGGCAAGCAGTGGTGGAAGAAGGAAGAGACAATCCAGGTGAAGAATGAACATGGCCTGGACCAACAGCAGATGCTGGTGGAAGGGGCCAGATGTTAGATACATTTTGAAGGTAACAGGATTTGTTCACAAATGTGAGGTAGGAGTAAAGGCAAAGATAAGTTTAAGATTTCTGGACTGAGCAAGTGGAAGGGCAGATTTGCCATTAATACTGACAGAAAATATGAAAGGTATAGCATGCCTGACGTGTCAAGAAGGCAACTGGATAAGCGAGTTGTAAAGTCTGGGGAGAATTCTGAGCTGAAGATAAAAATTAGGGAGTAGTGAGCACACTCATTATATTTAAAGGCAAAAGACTGGGTGAGATCACAAAGGAAAGTATAGCGTAGAGAATTTAAGGAAAGAAATAAACCCCCATTAAAAAATATAATAAATATTTTAAAGAGTAATTTATGTATCTTTAAAATAAACTTTTACATAAATATCACAAATGAAATTAAACCTATCCCTAGGTTATGAAAAGGAAAAAATTATTTCTATCTACTAAGGTATGTTGTCCAATTTTTATATACTAATCTACTAACTTGCCTATATCTTTATTATAGTAGGACTTATGCTACAGGCCTTACATTTACTGTCTAGTTAAATAAACAACAAAAGAACAAAAAGGAAATTCCTCTGCTATTTTTTTGGCTGAAATTTGCAGACATTTCAATTATCTAGAAACAAAGTGTAAGTCAATCACTCAAGGACAGGGTACCAGAATTCATCCAATCGGACAAGTGAAAAGAAAAGACAATGAAGAAGAATAAAGTTAGCTTAAGGGATGGACAACATTGAGCAGACCAGTGTCTGCAACATCGAGGTCCCAAAAGGAGAAGAAAGGGGCAGAAAGCTTACTTGAGGAAACGGCTGAAAACTACCCTAACCTGGGGAAGGAAACAGACATCAGACCCAAGAGTTCCAAAAAAGATGAACCCATGGAAACCGACACGAAGTCACACACTGATTAAATTGTCAAAATTAAAGCCAAGCAGACAATCTTAAAAGCAGCAAGGCAACTTGTTACATACAAGGGAACTACTATGAGACTATCAGCAGATTTTCGAGCAGAAAGAAAAGAACTGCTATCCAAGAACACTCTACCCAGCAAAATTGTCCTTCAAAACTGGATTTTCCACATAAGCAAAAGCTGAAGAAATATATCACCACTAAACTGACCTTACGAGAAATATTAAAGAAATATAAGTGAAATGAAAGGGTGCTTATTAGTAACACAAAAACATATGAAAGTATAGATCTCACTGGTAAAGGTAAATATATAATAAAATTCGGAATTATCTAATGTCAATACTCTGTTAGTGGATAAACAAGATAAAAAAATAAATTGTGGCATCAAAAATATAAAAAGTGGGAGCACTGCATTAAATTAAGAAGCTTTTGCACAGCAAAGAAAACCAAAATGGAAAGGCAACCTAACAAATGGGAGAAAATATTTGCAAATCATGTATCTGATAATAGGGTGATATCTACAATATAAAGAAGTCATACAACTCAATAGCAAAAATACATAAACAATATGATTTAAAAACGGACAGAGGCTCTGCACAGATAATTTTCAAAGAAAACACACAGAGCTCTGGCTGGCGTAGCTCAGTGGATTGAGCGCAGGCTGCGAATCAAAGTGTCGCAGGTTCGATTCCCAGTCAGGGTACATGCCTGGGTTGCAGGACATGGCCCCCAGCAACCGCACACTGATGTTTCTCTCTTTCTCCCTCCCTTCCCACTCTAAAAAAATAAATAAATAAAATCTTTAAAAAATTTTTTAAAAATAGTACAACTGTTTAAAAAAAAAGAAAACATACAGATTGCCAATGGGTTCAAACAAAGCTGCTCAGTATCACTGATCATCAGGGAAATGGAAATCAAAACCACAATGAGATTTATCACCCGAGAACTGTTAGGGTGTTATTATCCAAAACAAAACTAACAAAACAAAACAAAACAAAACGCTGGAGATAACAAGTGTTGGCAAGAATATGGGGAAGAGGGAACCCTTGTGCACCATTGGTAGAAATGCAAATTGGTGCAGCCACTATGAAAAACAGTACA